CATCTGATCTAGCGGCTTTCACAGCTGTCTCCCTCCTCCCTAGACAGATCGATTGACTTGGGTACATTCAGCCTGCCCATACATGGTTCGAATCTCAGCCGGTTTCTGATGAACTGGCTGAGATTCGAACCATCTATGCCTGGTTTTGGGGATGGGAAAGTAGGTGGGTTTAAGTAGTTTAGCAAAAGATAACTGGACAGGGCTGACACTGCTCAGCCTTTAAACATACTGTGTTGTTAGCTCAGAAGAGGACTGTAGTCAATGAATGCATTTATGTTCGATCGACAGGTATTCTTGTGTACTTGTAGAGTCTTTAAAGTAATAACACCTTTTTTTTTAATTTTGATTGACATATACTTTAAATGTGCAGAGATGTAAAAACTGGGAGCTCTTAGCACACACAAGTCAGTGAGCATCGACCGGAAATCCTGCCATAAAGGGCCTCAATGTGACGTGAGCACTGCAGAGAGTACCTACTTTTCAGCCACAACTGTTTTGACTGGGGCAATATTTGTTGCACTGTAATCTGCCAGCATACGGTCAGACACGTCTTAATAATTCTGGGCAATTTTTGCCCTTACTTTCACAGTATCTCACAAAGACATGTAGTACCCTCCTAGAAAGGGATGTTTGGTAAATTATTTATTTATATAAACCAGACTGCAAAAGTACCTCCTCCCTCATATATCATACAAAGAACCCCAAAAACCAAATGGGACTTTACTGGTACAGAAACCGGACAACCTCATATTGTTGTATAAAAAACATGTTTATTGAAACATATCTTCCAAATATTACTATAAAAACAGTATTTTAGCTAGTCAACCCAATAGTTTACAGCATTATATATCATGACATTAAAGTCCTCCAGAGGTTGATGCGTTTCGCTTACTAGTTTCCTTTGGGGTCCTGAGGAAGCTAATAAGCGAAACGCGTCAACCTCTGGAGGACTTTCATGTCATGATATATAATGCTGTAAACTATTGGGTTGACTAGCTAAAATACTGTTTTTATAGTAAATTTTTGGAAGATATGTTTCAATAAACATGTTTTTATACAGTAATATGAGGTTGTCTGTTTTATGTACCAGTAAAGTCCCATTTGGTTTTTGTGGTTATTTGTATGGTAAATTATTTAGTTTTTTGCTCCTTCTGCAATCAAGGGAGCAACAATCATTTATCCTTGTCTTTTCGGGGTTGCACAGGCTGGAAGTTTGATTGCTCCCCCCTGCCTATGGAAGAAGCTTCCAGAACATAGGGAGGGCGAATAAAATTACAAGCCTGAATATTTATCATGGCCTGGCCAATCACTGTAGATGAGTGTCCAGAAGGTGTGTGCTGAGGTTGACCAATCATGTGAAGCACTGGAGAGATTGCTCTCTCGCCCCAGGAGGGTTCTAAATCTTATGGGGAGCTGCTGCCCTTTTGAGATAGCCTGTGGACTGTGAACCTGTTCTTGAGGCCTCAGCAGTGTCAGGGCTGAGGGCCTGGAGTGAACTGTCTGAGATGTTGGCTGTGGGACTTCGCCATAGGGATTGGGTCTGGAGAAGGTTTGTTCAAGTCCACAGAAAGTTGGAAGGTGTGCTGCTGTCCTAGGGACTTGTGAATAGAGACCATGAATTGATTCCTGGTGACTGTGTGCTTTTGGGATATAAGAGCCAGAGGTAGCTATGGACTGAGACAACTCACACGGGGTCTCAGAGTACTATTCATTCCTCTGTCCTCAACAGAATCCTGGAGTGCAATCCCAAGAAAAAAGAAAGTCCTCCTGTTTACTGAGCAGCATTTTGGAGTATCCCATGACCTAATGACTCTACTATTGAAAGTTCTCCTAGAAATAAATATCAAAATGATATCCCCTAGTCCGAGTTATTTGAACCAGATTGTATGGACTGGTGCTATGGAAGCAGCGCTAAAGATAAAAGTAATTATTTTTGTGTTTCATGAAGACTTTATAGCTTTGTTTTTTTTCAACTAGCCATTACTCTAAACTTGACATGAGATGCTATTATTTTATAATCAGCAGGTCAGTTCTCTGATACCTCCCCCTGCTCTAGAAACTTGGAAAATGTTTCTAGAAGCCAGTAAGGAGGAGCTGATCTGCATATTTAGGGGAATCTGGTCAGTCCCCAGGAAAGAAGCCTTTCATGGTGACTAGGTCAGCCCTTAAATATGAGAGAACCTGGTCAGCAAGAGAGGTGAGTGGATAATGGAGTGAGGAAATGCTGCTGGTGTGGAGCCTGGGAGGGGGCCCCAGAGAATTGGGTCTGCCTACAGGCTGTAAGCTGGAAAGAAGGACCTCCACTGTCCCACAGTCTACCGGGGAAAGACAGCCTGTCAGCAGGGAAGGAACCAGCCCAGCATAAGACCTGAAAGCAGCTTCAACCTTTAAAGCTACAGGAACAGGACAGTGTGAGTACTTCTACACCCCCTGGGCCAAAAAAGAGAGAGGACCCAACTAGTTCTCCCTGGGACTACATTACTTGTGTGTCTTGGAATTCCTTGCTCCGAGATACTCTCAAGACAGCCAGGTGGATGAGAAGATTTTCAACTGGGGTCTGAGGAGGTTCATTTAAGGCAGGGGTGTCCAAACTTTTTTCAAAGAGGGCCAGATTTGATGAAGTGAACATTCATGATGGCAGATCATTTTGCGGCAAAAAAAAATGAATGGATAAAGGAGCAACTGATACTGGTCATGACATATTTGAAGTCTTTACTTGTTTCTCCCCCTAAAAAAAAAAGCTAAATTACTCTCACTGATTTCCTTCAATGCTTGAGAAGGGAGCGCACCTTTGCCATTCATCGGCCTCGCGCATGCTCCGAAACGCGTTGCATTGCATGCTGGACATCCCTATGTCATCACGCTGTCGACGTTGCGCTCCAGGGTGGACTCTGGACACCATCTTTGGATCTCACACATGCTGGCCGGTTCCCTGTGAACATCCCGAGTCTCCTCCAGTGCTTACTACGGCGTATACATCGAGGAAGCCACCATGTCCTTCGTTTCACCACATATACCTAAGCCTTTCACTTTCTTTCATCATGTGTTTCTCATTATGTTCCCTAATAAATGTACCACATATTGCATTTAGAGGCGCTTTTCTCTTTTTTAGATATTGCCAAATTACCTGTAGGGCTGTATTAGACCGGAACACAGGCCGCAAATGACCCGTGGGCCGGACTTTGGATATGCTGTATGCTGATCCTTCAGAAGATAAGAGCCACTCCTGAAGGAGTAGATAGCCTAGGATCTGGTCGTTATGTGCTTTTTTTTGTTGGATTTTTGTCCTTTATGTGCCTACGAATTTGTCCTGCAAGTTGTTTCAGTTCCATTGGGCATTCCATATACCCCTAGACCGTACCAAAGTTGTTAACTCTTAATCAAACAACAAAAACCAAGCTTGTGGACTGTTTACTGACTGTGGATGCAATTGTGAAAAATGTGTGTTGTCTGGCTGTGCAGAGCTTAGATGGACCCCAAAACTCAGCATCCCTCCCTGAAGAGGGATTTATTTATTTCAGGTACTTATATAGTGCTGTCAATTTACGCAGTACTTTACATATATATTATACATTCGCATCAGTCCCTAACCCTCAAGGGGCGTACAATGTAAAGTCCCTAACTCACATTCATACATACACATACTAGGGCCAATTTAGACGGGAGCCAATTAACCTACCAGCATGTCTTTGGAGTGTGGGAGGAAACCCATGCAGGCACAGGGAGAACATGCAAATCCAGGCAGGTGGTGTCGTGGCTGGGATTTGAACCAATGACCCTAGTACTGCCAGGCTGAAGTGCTAACCATTTAGCCACTGTGCTGCCCACATGCATTGTTGGCAATATTTGTATAACACTTCCTATGACAGTCACGTGTCACTGTTAGTGAACTGGTTAGCTGACTTCCATTATTCATCTGAGGAAAGTGAGCATGCAGAACAGTTGATTGGATTATGAAGGTACCACTATGTTTTCATGCTGGGGGAAATAGAGCAGAAACAGTAGACTAGAGGATAACCATTAACTAAGATAACAGGACTGGAACTGTGCTGTTTGCCTTCATTCAATTCCTTTTATTCCTGTCCGAATCACATACGGTTTCTTTGCGGGTGCGGTGCGATTTGAGCCATACACAATGAATGACTCAAATCCAGGGGCGGACTGACAACTCATGGGGCCCCCGGGCAATAGGGGATCATGGGGCCCCTGTGTCTTTGCCCAAACTCAAAAAGGTCTATGAAAAAGGTACCAGGGGCATTTCATGGGGCCCCCTACTGACCCCGGGCCCTCGGGCAGTGTCCGAGTTTCCAAATGGTCAGTCCGCCCCTGCTCAAATCACACTGCAAATCGCACCGCACCTGCAAGGACACAGCATATGATTCGGACAGGAATCTGTGATTCGGATAGGAATCTGTGATTCGGATAGGAATTGCACAGCATTCCTGTTCAAATCACATGCGATTCTTTGCAGTGCGATTTAAGCTCGCTCATTTTGTATGAGCTCAAATCGCACCGCAAAGGTACTGGTAATTGGTATCGGCAAGTACTTAAGTACAAGTATAGGTACTCTTTCTCGCCAATACAAAACCGGTATTGGTGCAACCCTAAGATTGCCTGATGTTAACAGCGCCTAAAAGAAATGATTCTAGCTGCAATATAATCATTTTATTTTACATGCTACAGCACCCAGTCTCAATTTGTTTACCCCAGAGGAACCCTTGAAATATGGTGGTTAGAATGCCACATCTAGGGCTTGTTCACACAGGCGGCTGAGGCGCACTTGGTATTTGACCCACAGTCTTACCACCCCTTGACTGCCCCCCTTAAGATGCAACAGCCTGGACAGGGTATTACACATGCTGCAGCAAAAATTATCCCCCATTTGTGCTCGGTGGGCAGTACCACCACCAAACATGACCCTTCATGGAACATGGAAATGCAATTATTTTAGTAAATATAAACCTCTAAATAGCTTTTCTCATCAGCAGTACATAGCAGACTTGTGACTTATATCAGTGTCCAGTTGAGCACTGGTTAAAGCTTGTAGGAGGATTTTTCATTCTCCTCCGACTGTCCTATGAAGCTGCATGATCCCTAACCCTCTGTGTGAACAGTGCTGATTGGCCCTGTGCCGATCACATGTACCCTCCCCCTCCAAAAAAAAACCCACCCACCAAAAACCCTTGGTGTAGCAGTACACACCAAGCTGAGCATGTGCACAGTGTCCTCCTAAGGCTCTGTACTATCAACAGATTGATTGGGGGCTGTGGAAGAAGGGGAGGATCAGAGAAGTTGGGATCAAACAGCCTTTTTACACAATGCAGAGGATTAACCCCTTGAGGTTCCACAGTGAGTATAACAAGCATGCTTTACTGCATATACAGACTGATTTAACTGCTGTGGGTTTAGTAACACTGTAAGGAGGCCGCACTGCAATTGCTCTACAACTGTGCAATGCATGCAGGCTTTTTAGGGTTCAAACAGGCAGTGAGGAAGTGACATATTGCCTCCCAGCTGCCTGTCAATTGTCCTGTGCTGCTCTGGGCTGCATTGCAGTGTGAACAGGGCACATAGAAAACAGTTGTTTTCAGTGTGTCCTAGCCGTGACTGGCATTCTTTTAGGACGGAAAACCGCTGGTCACCACACTATAAACATGCACTAAGGGAGCGGAGGCTGCTCCCTTACCAGTGTGAATGTTCCCAAAGTGAGTCATAGTAAATAAGGTGAACCTGTGTTCAATTTGAATAGCCAATCATATGACAGGGGAAATTAACAACAGAATTTTTGCAAGCATGTGATTGGTTGGTTGAAAGGAACACGGCTTCTAACTTACCCACTTTTGCTAAGCGAACAACCTCTATTTCTTCAGTAAATCCAGCCTTTAGTCTGGAGTACATGAGCAATAGGTGCCCAGTCACACCGGTGTGATTTGCGAATTGAAATCGTACCTGAAATCGCATCTAATGAATGTGAATGTCAGCCTCTTAACATGTGCGATTTGCTGCAGCGCGATTTCTAAAATAGTTCTTCCATGACTTTTTCTGCAGTTTTGTTGCGACATCCCATACATAGAATATAATGGAAATCACACTGAAAATTGCAAGAAATCGTTGAAAATCTTCACAAGTTGCAATAAGTCCCCGGTCACACTGGGTGCAACTTGACTGCGATTTGTATTCCATACGTCTTGCAAATCTCATGACAAGTCGCACCTATTGACCGCAATTACAGCGATCATATGGCATGTTATATGTCGACTTGCTCGGAGCCACACCAATTTCTAAAGTAGTGCATGCGCTACTTTTGGTGCGATTGCATAGACATCTGTGTCAAATGTCTTGCGAATCGCACCTCAAATCGGCATGTCATCTAACTTCGAAATCATTTCATGACTTCACTGTAAGTCGCACGATTTCAAAGTTGAGATCGGTGTGACCGGGGTGTAAAGTCTTCAAATTGCACATCAATCGCGCAGTTTTAAATCGCAGCGGTGTGACCGGTGACTAAGAGTGCAGGGGCCACGCTGGCTCCCAAAAATACCCCAACTTTTGTGAAACTTTCCATCACATTACCAAACGTACAACTGTGGGAATAAATGATCTGGATTTGTACCGAAGATTCGCAGTACGTTTTTTGGTGTTCTGTCTCTACAGGAGATGATGACCAGCTTGCTAACTCCAAAATGTGTCCCAATAAATCCTCCCGAAGGGGGATCATATGTCTTCTCCTTGGCCCTGGTCCCACATGGTGACCTCTGACCTCCAGGAATAAACAAAATTCCTGTTCCCATGAAGTCTGGTTAGGCCGAACTTCACTGTCTGGGGACCACTGTACACCAGCAGAGGGGACATGCCGCAGTAAGTAAGAGCAGATGGGACGCCGGACTCACACATACAGTATATATAGTATATATCAGGTTTCATCTTTCTGCTACTGGTTTCATTCAGGACAGGAAGACACAGGAAATTCAGGGTTATCTATGGAGTGTTCCTATGGGTTACTGTCATCTTTAATGCACAAACTATTGAAAATGTGCATTATTTCCTACTGATATACCCATTACAGCAGGGCCACTGATAGGGGAATAAAGCTGGCCTCTGTACTAGGCCTGGACCTCATTACTCCAGTAGGGGGGCCCAGGGACAGAGAGGGGGCTTTTTATGTTCGACAGGGTTCAGGCCGATAACACCGCGGGTCTACAGTTCCCAGTACTTATAGTAAACATCCCTGGACCCCATTAGTTCAGCAGGATTGCACAGGGGCAGAGAAAGGACTTTTTATTTTTAAAGTTCTCTGGGTCCCATTCGTTTAGCAGTACGGCAGAGAGGGGATTCTTTTAGCTTTTAGGAGCAGGTAGAGTAATATTAAGTGACTTGGCTCTCAACAGACATTCCTGACCCCTGCAATCTGTACAATACATACTCCTGACCCCAGCACTCTGCACAATACATACTCCTGACCCCAGCACAATACATACTCCTGACCCCAGCACTCTGCACAATACATATTCCTAACCCCAGCACTCTGTACAATACCTACTCCCGATGCCTACATTCTGTACGTTACAAAACTTCTGACCCCAGCACTATGTACAATACATACTGCTGACCCATGCACTCTGTATGATACTGTACATACTCCTGACCCCTACAGTCTGTATGAAACATACTCCTGACTCCTACACTCTGTATGATACATACTCCTGACTCCTACACTCTGTATGATACATACTCCTGACCACTACACTCTGTATGATATAAACTCATGACCCCTGCACTCCGTATGATACATACTCCTGATCCCTGCACTCGGTACAATACATTCTCCTGATCTCTGCATTAATGTTCGATACATACTCCTGACCCCTACACTCTCTATGAAACATACTCATGACCCCTACACTCTGTATGATACAAATTCATGACCCCTGCACTCCATATGATACATATTCCTGACTCCTGCACTCTCTACAATACATCCTCCTGATCTTTGCAATCTATTCGATACATACTCCTGACCCCTACACTCTGTATGATACATACTCCTGACCCCTACACTCCCTATGAAACATACTCATGACCCCTGCACTCCATATGATACATACTCCAGACTCCTGCACTCGCTACAATACATCCTCCTGATCTTTGCATTCTATTCGATACATATTCTTGACCCCTACACTCTGTATGATACATACTCCTGACCCCTACACTCTGTATGATACATAATCCAAACCCCTACACTCTGTACAATACATACTCCTGACCCCTGCACTCTGTATGATACATACTCCTGACCCCTACACTGTATGATATATACTCCAACCTCCTACAGTCTGTACAATACATACTCCTAACCCCTGCACTCTGTACAATCCATACTTCTTATTCCTGCACTCTGTATGAGCCATACTCCTGACCTCTGTATGATCCAAATCCCTGACCCTTGCACTCTGTTTGATCCATATTACATTCTTGACACCTGCACTCTGTATTTAGGTTCACGTTTTAAGCCCCACCCACTGTTAGCTCAATTTTGCCACACCCACAATTCACCATGGCAAGCTCGGTGTGCTCTCTCATTATTGTCCTCTGGGTGGTCAAGGGGGCCCTTTCATGTAGGCTGTACAGGGCCCCATGATTTCTAATGGTGGCCCTATACAATACATATGCCTGCCTGAATTTTCAAAATAATGGTCTGTGATCAGCGATTTATTTATAACTGTGGACAAAGGTGCCTATCACTGCTCCCATTTCAGTTGTTGTGTTCCCTACAGAACAATCTCAATACTTGGCTGCTGTGAAACAATCCGGTCACATTTCACAGCACCCTTTTATTGAAGTACATAGGTCGCCAAAATGAAAATGTTCTCATCCTTCCTGCCCCTCATTGTAGGCCAGTTGTCTTGTCCCGCAGAATACATTTTGGCCTAAATTTATAAAGAAATGTAATTTTTTTTTACTTGACATATTTTATAGCAAAAATATTGTTTTTTTTTTCAAAATTGTCGGCCTTTTTTTTTTTGTAGAGCAAAAAAATTAAAAACGCACAGGCTATCAAAAACCCCAAAAGAAAGCTCTACTTGTGGGAAAAAAAGGACATCAATTTAATTTGGGTGCAGCGTTTCATGACCGCGCAATTGTCAGTTAAAGTAACGCAGCGCCGTAATGTAAACAATGGCCTGGTCAGGAAGGGGGGGGGGGGCAAATCCTCTGGGGGGGGTGTGGTTAAAGTGCGATTGCAAAGCATCAAAAGCGATCATTTCCCATGTTAGACATGTATAAAATAAATAAATCAATCTCATAGGGTGTTGGAGGAGTGTTGCCCGACACAACCCGAGTGCCAGTAAACACGCATTAATGCTTTGGGTGCTTTATTACGCCTTGGAATTCAATGCCTGTCTGAAAGAGCCCTAAAGGTTTCTTTCAACAAAGTTTGCTTTTAATACAATTAAGAAAATGAAGAAAGAATTGTATTCTAGGTGTACGATGAAAAGGGCGAAAAATGCGCTTATTTTACCCAACGACTTTCTGTAGGAATACAATAATCCTGTTTTTTATTCCCAAACAATGTCTGACCTGTAGGAGGATATAATATGAGCTGAGCAGTAGGTGCTATGCATATATTATGGAGAAGCCGCAAAACCCGCGGATTATATTCTGAGCCTGATTGTAGATCCACTTCCTAATTATTCCCATTATGTAATATGTTTTCTGGTCCATCGAGTGCAGCCGTCTGAGTAATCAATTGTTTTGCTATTACATGCAATGCAAATAATGGAGAAGACTTAAACTGGGCAGATGACGTTTAAAAGTATAATTGGAATTATTAGTGCTGACCTATAAAGTGTCTGCGTGTTCGTTGGAGCTGCTTAGGAAAAGTACTGATTCAGCCTTCTATACCAGTGGTCTCCAAACTGGGCCCAGGGGCCAGATGTGGCCCTTTGCTTGCTTTTATTCGACCCTTGAGGCATATTCCTCCCACTGCAAGCAACAGCGTGGCATAGTTTCTCCCCACTGACATCAACAATGGGGCACTATTTCTCCTATTCACACCACTGATGGGGCACTATTCCTCCTATTGACACCAATGATGGGCAGTATTCCTCCTATTGGAACCAATGATGGGGCACTATTCCTCCTATTGGCACCAATGATGGGGCACTATTCCTCCTATTGGCACCAATGATGGGGAAGTATTCCTCCTATTGGCACCAATGATGGGGCAGTATTCCTCCTATTGACACCAATGATGGGGCAGTATTCCTCCTCTTGGCACCAATGATGGGGCAGTATTCCTCCTCTTGGCACCAATGATGGGGCAGTATTCCTCCTATTGGCACCAATGATGGGGCACTATTCCTCCTATTGACACCAATGATGGGGCACTATTCCTCCTATTGGCACCA